GANATAGAGAACAGGAGAATACAGAGAACCAGGAGAACACAGGAGAACCAGGAGAACACAGGAGAACACAGAAGAAACCAGGAGAAACCAGGAGAACACAGGAGAAACCAGGAGAACACAGGAGAAACCAGGAGAACACAGGAGAAAGCAGGAGAACACAGGAGAAAGCAGGAGAATACAGGAGAAACCTCCTGCTTTCTCCTGTATTCTCCTGCTTTCTCGTGTGTTCTCCTACTTTCTCCTGTGTTCTCCTGCTTTCCCTTGGTTTCTCCTGTATTCTCCTGCTTTATCCTGGTTTCTCCTGTATTCTCCTGCTTTCTCCTGCGTTCCCCTGCTTTCTCCTGTGTTTTCCTACTTTCTCCTGTATTCTTCTGCTTTTTCCTGCTTTCTCCTGTATTCTCCTGCTTTTTCCTGCTTTCTCCTGTATTCTCCTGCTTTCTCCTGGTTTCTTCTGTGTTCTCCTGGTTTCTCCTGTATTCTCCTGCTTTCCCCTGGTTTCTCCTGCGTTCCACTGCTTTCTCCTGTATTCTCCTGTGTTCTCCTGCTTTCTCCCGTATTCTCTTGCTTTCTCCTACTTTCTCCTGTATTCTCCTGGTTTCTCCTGTGTTCTCCCGTATTCTCCTGCTTTCTCCTGGTTTCTCCTGTGTTCTCCTGCTTTCTTCTGGTTTCTCCTGGTTTCTCCTGTATTCTCCTGCTTTCCCCTGGTTTCTCCTGCGTTCCACTGCTTTCTCCTGTATTCTCCTGTGTTCTCCTGCTTTCTCCCGTATTCTCTTGCTTTCTCCTACTTTCTCCTGTATTCTCCTGGTTCTCCTGGTTTCTCCTGTGTTCTCCTGGTTTCTCCTGTGTTCTCCTACTTTCTCCTGCTTTCTCCTGTATTCTCCTGCTTTCTCCCGTGTTCTCCTGCTTTCTCCTGTATTCTCCTGCTTTCTCCTGTGTTCTCCTGGTTTCTCCTGTGTTCTCCTGTGTTCTCCTGCTTTCTCCTGTGTTCTCCTACTTTCTCCTGCATTCTCCTGCTTTCTCCTGTGTTCTCCTGCTTTCTCCTACTTTCTCCTGTGTTCTCCTGTGTTCTCTTACTTTCTCCTGTGTTCTCTTGCATTCTCCTGCTTTCTCGTTTTTTTTTACTTTATTCTGTTAAGTTATTACGTATTTGTCAAGGTATTTGCAGGTATAAGCACCTCATTTACATACTCGGGACAAAATAAATGGTCCCTTTACCTAATTTTGATCCGCGGCGCCATGTTTGTTTTGGTCTCGGGGGCCCCACTCTCGCGAGACTTGGTATCCTTATATCACTAGAGGGATCACGTGACGTGACGAGATCTTGCCTTTGACAGCGTTGCGGGAGTGCAGGAACAGCAGAGGATGTTTCTAGAATTGTTTGGGGGATTTTGAACTGTCATCAGGCTTAATTTTTTTGGGGAAAATGAAGGAAAGAATATTCTAAACAGCCAGAAAGATAAGATTGTTGGCTAAGTTGGTTTTTTGAAATGGAATCTTCCCTTGTGGCCCAACCACGCATAAGGGCATGAAAGTTGGGCAATGCGTGACTGATTTCCTACTCCCCTATTTCCCTTAGGAAATCTGTTTGACGACTTGGTCCTTGCTGTAAGTTACATTTGTTTACAGGTCACCGGAAGATAACACTGGGCCAGATTGTTTTGAAGATTGTTTAAGAAATGCATAGAAAACTTCTAAGTTTCTTTGAAGGTACTATTAAAAAGACATTTGTGTTGAAACTTGTCTTACATTACTGGTAAGTTCAAATCAATGACACCTTTTTTGTTGATTATTCTGCCCATTTTATGTTTTCTATTCTGTATGGTATAGGAAGTGGTTTAGCTGAATGAAATTATGTTTCAGGTAGTTTTATGTACACTGGCTTTAATAAATTCTTTTTTGGCCAATGAAGCTTCTTCAGATTTGTAGAAAATTTTACCTGTATTGTTAAACATTGTCTTTAGAGTACCAGTATATTTTGCACAAAAGTTTGTACCTTGAAGTTGAAGGAAATAGTTTCAGTAGCAGCAAATATTGTCCCATGTTGTCAAACACATCATATCTTTAGTAACTTGACATAAAATTGCCTAATAACTTAACAGTGTTTTTATTTATAAAAAAATAGAAGGATTGCATTCATTTGTTGCAATGAAGAATGCATCAAAATATGTCATATATATTTTGGGCAAGTGAAAAGTTGGTTCGGGCAAGTGAAAATGACCATGTACTTGCCCGATAGGGCAAGTGGATTTTTGTTCGAGAATAACAGTAGAAGCTCATAACAGAACATTGTTGTTCGAGAATAACAGTAGAAGCTCTGAGCCTGAAGACATGTAAAGGTGGCATTCTTTATTAAAACATTGTTGTTTGAGAGCTTTATTTGTTCTTTACATTACTTTATTTTATAACATAAAACTTCAGTAGTTAACTAGAAGAAAACGTAATAGATATAAGTAGCAGATTTGAAGAAAATGATAACTTGGAAGTGTTGCCACTTGAATACTGATGGCGCCACCTGGCTTTTGACTCAGGTGGCAACATGCGCCACCTGGCTGAAAAAAGTATTTCGAGCCCTGCATAATAATCATGTAATTTCATTTACATTGTATTTACGAGTTTGGCTGTGAAATATATTGGGCTGGCCAATATCCACCTCACAAAAAACTGGCCAATATCTGCCTTGATTGCAAAAGTCTGTGTACTTGATTTCTAGAAGAGCATTATTATGTACTTGACCTTTTATTTCTGCTATTAGTCAATATTGATAAGTTGGCTAACACCAACTGACTTTGCAAGGCAGCAGCATTATGTGGTATCAGTGATAAAGGTGTCAAAAGAAGATACATACCCTAACGAATGCAGCAGGGAACCAGCCTTCCCTGTCCTCGATACATCCCCACCACCAGTCCCTGTTGTGGAGGTCTGTCACTTCTATCACCTCCCCTGCCCTGAAGCCTAACTCGTCAGGGGCCATGGTGACGTGGTCCCACAGGGCTTCAGCATACGTCACCTCATCTTCATCATCAAACATCTGGGGAAGAAAGAACTCATGTTAAAAGTACCCAACACACTTAATAATATCTGATTCAAGAAGAGTAGCAGGGCTTGAAATTCATTTTTGAAAATAGGTGACAACCTACAATGTAAGAAATTGGGTGCACAAAAAATCTCTTGGGTGCACTTGGATGATATACGTGTGAGATAAAATTAGTAGAATGTCAGCCAAAATTGATTTTCTTCCATTGGAAGAGAAGTACAGTAACTATAACAATGATTTTGTAATTTTTCTGACACTTGGATGTGAAGTATATGCTGTACATTTGACATCTGCACATACATAAACCTACGAAAATATTTGGTTGCACTGTCCACCTACAAAAAAAACATTGGGTGCACAGCTCTAAATTTGGGTGCACAGGGACCCAGTATTTTGAGCCCTGAGTAGAGATTATTTTTTGACGACCAATGACCAAACATAAAGCAAGGCTTCACCGAAAACGTGATGATCAGATCGAACAAAAGAGATCCGTCTACTTGTATCTTAGTTTACTTCATAGTTTACTCAACAAGTATAACAAAAAAATTTGCAGGCACAAACTAGAAATTGTGTTACAGAACAGATGTAACTCTCAACTTTGTTAAAGATAGAAACTTTGTTCCATGTTGAAAACTCATCATTTCAAAACGTTGAAACAGTTACTGTACAATACAAAAATGGAAAAAAACAGCAGTTATATCATGCTAGAAGCTTCTTATTATTCAACAACTTGTGCAACATGCACCATACAAACAAAATACCACTATAAATTGAATTTTTCCCTCCATCAAAGCATTCTATCATTTTTCTGTCTGAACATCTACATCAAAGGTTGGTAAACCATTGATGTTATACAAAAATTTATATGCATGTTATTCAACAAATTATGCAACTTCAAAACAGAAAAATACCACTGATTCCATTTCCCTCTCCATCAAAGCATTCAAGCCACATCAAAAGTACGTTTGATGTTGCCGCAGAAAAAATATAATCAGGATACACGTCAAAACGAAATCATAATGTTGTGATGTGTATTTCAGCAAATAACAAGGAAGCGGATATGAAACTAGAAAGGCCGACATTTGCTTGGGAGCAAATACAGCATATTTCAGTCCATCTAAATCCCACGCAAAAGTGGACTATTCCAAACTTACCCCAGTGTAAAACTGGCAATGGTTCTCAAATAAATGAATTAAATAGTAGCTATGTGATTGAGAACAAAGATGCAATAACAAGCACTGTGAATCTCGAAAGCTTTACTAATCTTATTACAGGTATGCAAAATACTAACAATGATGAGATTTGATACATTTTGAAGGTCTTAGGCACATAAAATTGAATGTGTGGGTCATTACGCACGACTTACGTGCAATGTGACCCCAGGTAACCCGCAATGGAACACGTGTTCCATGGCCAAGGGCAGATAGAATTCTTTAGATAGAACATGGAACGGGTATAGCACTTTTGGCCCTTTTTTTGCTGAAAATAGCCATTAAAGTCCCCCAAATGAGTCATTTGGAAGTGGTGTATGCCAAATATGTGACTGCTATTCTGTAGACACATGTTCAAGGTACCCTTATACCAAATTTCAGATAATTTGGTTGTAAAATTAGGGCTCAGGATCCAAAAATCCATTTTTTTGGCGAAAAATCCCCCAAAAACCCTCATAAAAATTTTTCAAAGGCATGTATAAAAAAAAATGAAAAAAAAAAGACCTAGAGGGTAATGGCCCACTCTACCTCCATGCCAAATTTCAAGTCATTTGGCTGAATGATGGCGGAGTTGAATCCCTTTGACTGTTTGGCAGGAGAAGAAGGAGAAGGAGGAGAAACATGAGAGAACACAATATACATGTATTTCATCCATACCATGTGGTATGGACTGAAATATAATTATTTAATTCGACTGATTCTAGGGTACAGGTTTAAGGCATGAGGAAGAGAGTTAACATCATACAGGATTGTTGTATTTAATACTAAGTATACTAACTAACACTATCTTTTAAATACGTCAATGAAGGTTAGACATCCAGGCAATAAGATATGCTAAAAACAATTACTCAAGCAACTGGATATGATCTTGGAAACGGTCAGACATTTCAGATAGCATCCACTAAAAACTGACAAAAGGTAAGTGAGTGCTGCCTGAAACGTCTGACCGTTTTCAAAATCATATCCAGTCGCTTGAATAACTGTCTTTTTTTGATGCACATCTTTTAAATAGCAAGAATAGATACAAACAAGAGATTTCTGTACAGGATGGCTAGTGCCTGGAACAAGATGAAGTTGTAATGATGTATTGATGTATAGAATCCTTGTAAATGTATATAGAAGCTGTGTGTTAGTATTTTTGCTACTGTTAGTTTATGTTTTATATATTCCCTGTGTGTCGTATGTGTGTACATGTCAGAATGGACCACAGGAAGAATAGCTGCAGTTTGTACGCTAATTGTGGATCCTAATAAAGTCAACTGTGATTTTTTCACAGTTTACTTACCTCGTCAATGTCCTGACCAGGCGGGATCCCGGTGAAACTGGAGCGACGGTTGACGGCTGGCGAGGACGGCACGCTGGTCGGTTCGTTGTCGTTGTCCTCCGAGTCGGATGACGGGGAACTTAGCTCGACTGCCACTTTGGAGAATCGCGGCGTGCCTGCCCCCTTTTCAGCTGTCAAGGAATGAAGTAAAATGTGTTTACTATGTAGAAAGAAGATTTATTTCGAAGATAGTTACACCTGTTACATACATGTAGATCCTTAGGAAAAGCACTGACCACCCACTGCTTTCAATAGTCTTTGTAATGTTAGGAGGATACTAAGTCTTAGAGTATATACTTGGAAATCTCTGCTGACATAGCCTGGATCCCAGACTATTTCCAGGTACCCTGGAAGCCAGAGTACAGCGGCTGGCCAGCTGGATCGTGTTTCGCAGGTAAAGGTGCTTGGCGGGCCGAGAATAAACCAGCCGCAACCCGCTGTACTCTGGCTTCCAGGGTAATTTCCAGGGCCAATACACATGCCACTGTCCCCAGTTAGACCCTGATGGGTCTGTGGTAAGGTTTTGTTGGCCCTAGCCTGGTCCCTGAAGCTAGCCTGTTTACTGACCCTAACAGTCTGGCACCCAGGCTATGTTG